ATGCAATAAAAACAACGATTGATTTTTGAACAATTTTTACAAATAAAAATTAAATGAAGCTAATATTCACTCACAAAATCAATAAAAGCAATTTATTTTTCTTACTTGACAGTATTTATGCATACACACACATACATACATACAATAAAGATTATTTTTTTATTTAAACAAATAAAAAGAATGATTTGAAGTAACGTAAAATCTTTTGAGTTTTTACATTCGCACAGAATAAAAAATATAAGACAATACTTCTCGTTAATTTATTAATGCAAAAGTGTGAAATATAAGATACCATATAACATTCCCAACACGTGTGAAGATTTCCCACGATGTAACATAGGGCTCACGTTATTTTGGCTTCCGGTACGACACGCGGACATTTGAAAAGCCTATTTTGGCTCCCATGTGGCTATGAAAACTACTAACCGTATATCACGCTCAACCTTCTTCTTTTACGAGATCTTCCTGTGCTATTCCTTTCGTAACTTTCCAAGAGCGTCGATAATGTTAAAACTAAGTTCAACGAAAATGCCATACGGCCCCCATCCCCCCCCCCGAGCACCCCCATATACCTGCTACGCGTTCTATTTTACGGGCTAGGCTCTCTCTGAGGTATCGTTCTTATGCTAACTCGTTTGTTATACTCAAGATGAAAGCTCCTTTCTATCTTTTTTTTTAAAAAAAAAAGAAAAGTTATTTTATATTTTTAAGTATAAAGAATTTTATATTTATATCATGGGAATAATTCATGAATAAGATTTTAGATTATTTTATATCTTTTAGTTTCTCTTTTTATTATTATTAGTGTTATTATATTAATAAATTATTATTTAATTTTATATTGAAGAAATATTTAATATACACACACGTTGGATTGAGTTAAAAAAAGAGAGTTGCGAGTGTAATATAAAAAAATATATATGTTTGGTTTTGGTTAATCTCACTTTTTTGCTTTTATTTAATTTAAAATTTTATATAATTTATATAATTTATATAATAATAGTAATTTGTATAATTTTTATAATATTAATAATTTATATAATATTATACAGTACATATATTTAATAATATATATATTTATTTATAATATAATATGGAATATAAAATAATAATTAATTAATTATAATATATAAATAATATTTATATAAATTATATAATTATTTAAGAATTAATTTGAATTAAATTTTATAGAATTAATAAATATTTAAGAATTAATATTTTTTATAATATTAAATCACAAAATTACCATAATATTAATCAATTTAAAAATATAATAAATTTTCCAACGAAATAAAATAAACCAACTAATAAATCTGCACTCAAAAATAATGAAATAATTTAATAAAAATTCAATAAAATTACCAACATAAAAAAAAAGCATAACATAAAAAATGTAATCTCAATCCCTTTGAGTTTCACGCATCTTTCCTTTTTCTTCATTTATTTTTTCTTTTTTTTTCATTTTTTTCTTTTTTTTTTGTTAAAGAAAAATTAGTTAATTTAATTTAACTTTGATACGAAATTCACTACGTGTCCGATGTAACCCGTAATCAAATTTACAGTATCATTTCCAATAGCGAGGAAATCTCTTACCCCTCAAAATATCTTCCCTCTCAGAATCTCTCTCATATGTGAATCGAATCAGTGAATGTACGTAACCGTACTAGGGGGTCCAAGGGGGGGGGGTGGAAAGCCGGGTTCTGAGAGTAGTCGAATTAGCTGCCAACGAGAAATTTATCCGCAAAATCCGCCCGTCCAACCGAACGTCAATCAATTACCCATCCGTGGAATATTGAAGTTACACTTCAGGCTATATTCCATTCGTTTATCATAGTACTCTCTCTCTCTCTCTCTATATATATATATATATATATATATATAATCCATAGAGTATCGAATATACGATACGATTACTGATCAATCCGTGATCATACTGATTCCATACAAATAGTTCATATCTTTCCCCAAAAAAAAAAAAATATATTATACGAAACTAAAAATATTTCTTCAATTTTATTTTTTATTTTTTATACAGAAAAAAAAATAAGTGAAACGAAAGATATTTTTTTTTTGAATTCTAAATAAAGCAAATAAGATTGAAACACGTGAGATTAGAATTCGTGATAGATAATATTGTGACACTTTAATATGATTTTAATTTTTGATTTGAGATTGGTCACGCACACAAGTGTTCAATTGTGATTTTTGTTGAAATGTATATATATATAAGTCAAGTTGAATATGTTAAAAGTTATCAAAATGTGTTGATAATAAAATGATAAGAAATAGAAAGAGAGAAAATATGAGAATGTATTTGGAACAAAAAAAAAAGCATGAACAAGACTATATCATAGCATTGCATCGTAACATACACACACACACACCACACATACACATACACACATATAATGTTTTTTAATTCAAAGAAGAATTGCACGTTCTCGTAGGTACGTGTTAAAGTTAATCCATATAACTTATTTTACAGTGTCTATAATTTCGTATGATTATCGTAAATCGAGAAGATATGTTGCAAGAGAAATAGAAATAGAAATAGAAATACAAAAGATGGAAAATAAAGAGAGTAGAAAAGAATTTACGAGATTGTACTACAATATTATACTACGTGAGCACGGATATAATCTCAATTGATCTCAACAAAACAAAAACTAATAATATAATGAAACTTTCCAATACAAGTTCTTTTTTTTCTCTTTCCAGTTATTTTATATATTTTTTATTTTATTTTTTTTTTTTAAGATTCAAAACGACGATCGAGTTCAACGAAGCGAGTTGATAACAGCAATTCCCCTTGTAAAAAGGGGACCGGTTATTTTTGATCAAAAATTCGTTTCACTATGATCTCGTGACCTTGATTAGGAAATTATTCGTTCGTAGGAGTCGTGTATATCCACTAGATATCTCGAGTATTGTCCATTAATTAGTATTTCCGGTTACATACCATAAAGTTCTGCATGGAATAAGCCATTATCAGCCTATCTCTCTCGTTCTCTCTCTCTCTCTTTCTCTCTCTCTCTCTTTCTCTCTCTCTCTCTTTCTCTCTCTCTCTCTTTCTCTCTCTCTCTCTCTTGTTTACCTTTCACGCGATCCATTACCGATAGCAATGTAATTACCAAAATGAAACCTTCATGGCATCCCAATTAGTATCTATCATCTAGGTTGTGTTGTATTTGGAACGATGAGCATTTCATGTTCGTTGATTAAATATTTACACGGATTAGAGTCTGACTGGAATTGATTTCTTCCTTTTTTGGTTTTTGTTTTTTTTTTTTTTTTTCAATAAAATAAAAAAGAAGGAATAAAAAAATAAAGGTCAAATAGTCAAGTAATTTGATGGAGAAATTAAATTGGTAATTCGAATTGACAAGTTCGTTGTGTTTTGTTCAAATCGTCATGTTTGATTTTTTTTTTTTTTTCAAGAAATTTTGACAGAGTTGTTTGAAAAATGAATGAAAAGTTGTTAAAATTTCATGTAAATTTATTTGGAAAAATAATAGATGTATGATTTCATTTATATTTTTTTTATTTCATTTTAATCTTCCTTTTATTTTATTCGTGTCATTTTCTTTATTAATGTAATATCCGAAAAAGGTTAACATTACACGGTTATTTATTATATTATATATTATATATATATTTTCATATATATATATATATTTATTTATTATATTATTATATTTATATATTATGGTCTTTTGTTTTCATTTATCAAACGTGGAACACACGTTGCTTAATTTTAATTATTGTTTAGGAACTCGTAAACTAACATAACTAGTCAGTTACTAATCCTAGATTTTTGTTTATAAATAAATATTTAAAATTATTATAAAAGTCGTCGAATTATATTTTCTATACATAATAAAAACTATATTCTATATTAAGTTTTTTATTAAATTTTTGTGTTTATTATTTTATAAATTGTGTTATAAATTACATATGCATATAAATTACATTCTTTCAATAAACTTTAATTTAAAAATATTCATCAAAAATATTACAAACTTTTATTTCATTCTAATAATTAAAAAAAAAAAAAAACAAGAAGAACTATTATATTTTTTGTTAAAAATTTAACTTTAAACTTTGACATATTTCACATGGTTAAATGGTCACATCGTGTTTTAAAGAGCACAAGCTGTTTCGTGCTGGTCGTGTTCGATGAGTACTCGACCTGCATTCAGGGGTTACACTGCAAAAGAAAGGGTTGAGAGAAATAAAAAGTGAGAGAGAGAGAGAGAGAGAGAGAGAGAGAATGACCTTTGTTCTTCGGTCAACAGTGCAGACGCTGATAGTGACGAGTAGTTGGTAGACTGCCAACGGGTCCACCTACTCTCGACCGATATGATTCAGACATCGACACCTCAATTATCGACAGTCTAGTTCGAACGTTGATAACGATGGTGATAGGATACTATTAGTGGTAGTGAATAAATGCTAGTGATAGTGGTAGTGGTAGTGGTTGTTCGTTTTCCTCTGGAATTTCACGTTCTCTTTCTATTTCAAGTGGAATAAAAACAAGAGAAAGAAAATAGAAGAAAACAAAAAATACGTAAAAAAAAAAAAGAAAATGAATAAAAAGGAAAGAGAGAGAGAGAGAGAGAGAGAGAGAGAGAAGGTAACAAATTCGGTTGAAAATCCCATTGGAGAATTGCCAAAGTCTCTTTGCCTGTCTTTCTCTTTTTCTTTTCTATTTTTCTTTCTATTTCTTTCTCTCTTTCTCTTTCTCTTTCTCTATTTCAGCCCTGAAGGAATCCAAGTCTGTGAGACACGTTGGAAAATAGGTAGAACCGAACAAAGAGAAATAACCTAGCTTCTTCTTCTTCTTCTTCTTTCACTATTTTTCTCTTTCTTTCTTTCTGTCTTTTTTATTTGCTTTTTTTCTTTCGTATTTTAGCGAGTATAAACCGATAAATATAGACTCCCCAATCTTCTTGGTAATAGTTCGCTCATATAAAAGCTCGTGTTTATTTTTTTTTTTGCAGTTTCTTTCTTAAACCTCCTTCCAATTGGCAAGTTCAAGTAAAAAAGTGAGAAAGAGAGAGAGAGAGAGAGAAAAAATTTGTCAAGGTTATTGTGGTTGGTCAGGGTAAGATTCACATAAAATACTTATTATATATAATAATATATTTTAACATATAAATATTGCATTGATAGACAAATAATTATTTCAAATATTTTGTCCTCAAATCTTCAAAAATAATTGGAAAATCTATCTATATATATAAAAATATACATTTCGTTTATTCTTAACATCTAATCTCCAAAAATACTTCAACTATTGTTTTAAAAATTTGACACAACATTGCATTCGCATACAACTACGTTTTTATTACATTAATTTATTTATAAAATAATTAATTAATTGAAAAAAAAAAAAAACAAAGAAAAAGATACAATTAAGTCCAGCACCATCTATTTGCCATAGATTTCGGTGAATGCGCGGGAACATTTGAACATAACCTAAGTTTTATCTATACGACACGTCATATTTAGGTTTACATGAGCTACAGTAACACGTGGCAGGACACAACTAGTAATATAACAAAATATAATCGACGTTTAATGATTAATTCCGTGATAATTGAAATCCCTATATATAACAAAACTCTGTTATGGTGGTATGTATATCAGAATATTTATCAGACCTCGTTTTTAAGGTAGTAACACCGGTTACTAACATTTCCCATGTTTATCTACGGTTGATCGTTTTTCTCTTACTTGCCAACTTCACGGTACTCGAGCACCAGGTAAAAGTAAACGAGGAGAGGTGAGGAGAGGAGAGGAGAGGAGAAATGGAAAGGAATTGTAGTCGAGCAAACAGGAAAACTGGTAACAAGTCGCGTGCCATGGTCGCGTGCACGCGTTCAACACACACGTGGGCTCACAAACCGAAACGAAAGCTCACTTCATACAACCCCCCCCCCACTTTCCCCCTCACACCCGTCCACCCTGTTTCCTCCCCTATCCCACCTAATCCTCGCAAAACTCACATGCCCCCATACTTCCTCGTTCTTATCGTCAACTTGTGTGTGGGAACATTTATAAATATATATTATATTCTCTTTGTTGTTTCTCTTTATCATTTTCATTTCATTACTCGTCCGTTTTTCCCCTTTTCCTTTTCCCCCACCCTTACACTTCGAATATAAACACACAGTCATGTAGTCGTTGAACTTGTCCCGTGTTGAGCTGCTATATTTATGTTTTCCTATTTAGTATGCGTATTCACGTACTATCGTTAATTCTCACAGTATCATTATTATTATTATTATTGTTATTATTGTTATTATTATTTGTATCTCGAACTGAAAATAACCTCGTGATAGGTAAAAGAGAGCTGAAAAGTTACCGACAAAAATTAGAATGCATTCGACGATGTATGAAATCGAATGTCATGTGTTATTATACACGATGCGTATATAATTTCTTTTTATCTGGATTCTTTAACGTGATTATACGATTCGTCACACTTTCATCGTTATCATCAGTCAAAGGAAATATTTATTTAATAAGTGGATTAACATTAACGCATAACGAGACAAGCGTATGTTCGTATTGATGTATTATGAAAACGTTCTTATCAATTGTATTGAACTAAATGTATTGTTAGTAATGAGATGTTAGGATTATGTTTCCCCCTATCGATTGGATTTTCATTTAATACGATGGGTTTCGTTAAACATAGATTAAACTCTATCTAATTTTCATTTGCATTCAGAGATCCATACACAATATACAATTCGTAAATATGTTTTAATCTGATATCAAAATCACATACTAGTTTACAATTATAGGATTAGTATTTCGTAGTATTTCGTAGTATTTCGTAACAATGTTATCGATTAAATTTACTAATTCTATGATTCGACAGTTGGATGTGCATGCGAAAAGAAAATAATATGAAGAATTTATATTTCAGTAAATGGAAATACTAAATAAAAATATCATTTTAATCGTGAGAACATTTTTTGCTTCAAATCTGCCAGTGACAGAACGTTGACAAAACGTAAACGTTGTAAGAATAACATCTATTACATACATACATATATATATATATATGTGTGTGTGCAGAAATAGAAAATTGAGAATAGAAATATGAAGAAGAAAAAGAAGAAAAAAAAAAATGTGGTGAGTTTGGAATCGACAACGACGACGTGCACGTCGTTTAAGAGAAACGACAAGAACGTTTCATAAACCGCTTTTACAGTGAACGTCAGTAATTCACACAAGTATGGTGAAGCTTTTGTAAGATGGTGGGTTTGAGGATAGGCTTCAAAATGGACGCAGCGCGGCGACTGGTGCACAGAGAACGAAAAGACGATTTTTCATCTGGGTCACGTCGCACCGAGCTTTCGGTGCTTTTAAGAAAAAGAAAAAGAAAGCTTTATATTCTTTCTTTTTATTTTCTTTTATCTTTTCTTTCTTATCTTTTTCTTCTTCTTATTTTTTTGGGGAGGGGGTAGGGGGTAGAAGAGGGGGATTCTCTTATCTTTTATCTTCTCACATGCGTGGCAACCTTATCGTAAGAATTTTCGTAGTAAAATTTACGTTACGTGCCAATGCTGATTCTTTCTTCTTCGTTTTTTTATTTTTTTTTATTTCTGTCTATTCTTCAAAATATAAAATACGCAAAACGTGCGAAAGATTCATCTTTTTTTTCTCTTACTTTTATGTAAGAAAAAAAAATAACTTATCGAGTGGAAATTTTCTACTGAAAAATTTACAAATTTATCAAAACGCTGATGTTTCATCTTCATCATATTATTTTTACAAGCTTCTAATTTTTTACTTGCCGAATTTTTAAAATATCAAACTCACGAACGTGCTTAAATCTTTTTTTACTTATGCATAAGTAACATAACCTAACAAATACTTCAAGTAAAATTTAACTTAACTTGCAAAAACACGACCTTTTTTTTTATCGAATTTGTTTTGTAAAATTATTTATATATTATTATATAATATGTATAATTATTTATAAATTTATAAACGCGTAAATTTGTCTTCTAATGTTTGTATATATTTTTCTTGTTCTTCTTACTTATGCATAATTAACTTAACTTAACAAATACTTCAAGTAAAATTTAACTTAACTTACAAAAACACGACCTTTTTTTTTATTGAATTTGTTTTGTAAAATTATTTATATAATTATATTATATATATATGTATTATTATTTATAAATTTCTAAAGGAGTAAATAATTTCTTCAAATACGTTTGTATATATTATTTTTCTTTTATCTTCTCATTTCTTGCTTATGTAATGCAACATTAACGTGAAATTTACGAACCTGTCGAAACGTCTTCCTTACCTTCATTTCTCTTCTCTTTTCTTTATCATCTTCATCGTCTTCATCTTCTTCGTCTTTATAATAGTAACGCGTTCGACGTCTGTCGGCATTTTCGCTCTTATTTCCGTACAATTAGTCGAGTTCATTAGAAAGTTCCGCGAACGAACGAACGAACGAACGAACGAAATTGCACTCCTCGTTATAGGCATCGACGTCAAGGTAACGATTTTCACGAGTCCTCGTATCTTGTAATAATAACTCAAGAGCTGTCGCTCTTATTAAAGTCGAATACTTCCTTCGTAATAGCGTACTTTCTACCGAATGACTTAGCGGTTACACTCTGCACTTCAACCATCTTCTACAACATTACTGGTTATTTCTTTTTTTTTTTAATTTTTTTATTTCTTCATCTTTTTTTCTTTTCGAAATTATCAGATCTTTAAATATAACGATGAAGGTAAACAAAAGAAAAAAAAGTTTATAATTCATCATCGAAAAGTGTGTGTAAAGAAGACAATTATTTTTCTCACAATTTTCTGACAAAGTTGCACGGTTGTTTGTAATCGTAAGATACGACGTTTGTTTATTAAAAAAAGTAAAAGAGAAACATAAAAACTGATTACGTAGTAAATAATAAATCCTTTGTTATCTCGTTGATCCTTTATTTATTTCGATTTTTTTTTTTTTTAAAGGATATTTCAATATGAAATAATTGCAAAACGAAGAGATGGTAATATTACAATTTGTTATTCGCCAGAACAAAATGTCTACATCAAGCAGATGTAATATTACCGGTCGATTAAACGCGTATATTCGTTAATGTAAATTAAAAAGAGATATATAGTTACGTCATAACAGTATTTTCAAATTCCTTGTTAACGAGCAACATTTCTGATGCAATAACGCGTAACGTTCTAACTATTTCCACCCAAACCTTGAATGAAAACGTGCATTGAAAGCTTCATCATTTGTTCCTTCTTTTTTTCTTTTTCTTTTTTTTTTTTTTTTTTTTATTTGAAGGAGTTTCGATTGAAATTCGACTAAAACTGCATTCCCTTTTTTTTCTTTTTCTTTTAGATATTTCTTAATGAACGAATTGTCGAACGACAATTTATTTCCGATAGAGAATTGTGAATAAAATCAATTAAAAATGATATCATTTAATTGTTATTAAAATATAAAAAAAATTTCATATATATATATATACATATTTATTTTAAAAATTAAAATCTTTCGTTAGATGATAACAAAATTACACATCTGATTAATTAAATAAATTAGCCGAGAACAGTTTGTTAAAAGTTTGCACGATTAACAATATTAATAGGAATAATTTGAACAAATGTGTTCATTAAAAATTTAGAAAACGTTAACAATAAAATATAGTATATTATATATATATATATATATATATAAAAATTACGTGTCACGTTGTTTGTCCGCAATGGACTCCTAAACTACTAAACCGATTTTAATAAAATCTTGCACACTGTGTGCAGTTTCATTCAACTTGAAAGATAGGATAGTTTATATCTATTATATATATATATATATTAGCTATGCTGTGTTCTGCCACGCATCATTGTAGATCATGTTAGTGAGTTTGTCTCCCGTGTCGTATAAATAAAGGTTAGGTTATGTTCAGAAGTTCCCGCGCATTCACCGAAATCTATGACCAACAGATGTCTCTGGACTTACAAGTATCTTTCTCTTTTTTTTTTCAATTAATTAAATATTTTATAAATAAATTAATGTAATAAAAACCTATAGCTGTATGAGAATGCAACATTGTT